ATCGTGAACCCGCGATAAGATATCGAAGAAGTTCCAGACTAGAAAGAAGACTTTATATCGCTTGTAAGTTTGTGAAACTTTTGTTTATAAATCAGTTTGTAATAACTGTTATTGTAAATTGTATTGTTATCTGTATATTAAAAGGTATTTGTGTTAAAAAGAAAACTGTGTGTATCAATCTTGTTGGCAAATATTATAAACTGACTGTATATCAGCTTTTACTTAACTACTAAATCCAGAGTACAATTTAACTACTAAATTTAAATTCATTAGTTAACTAAATTTCAGGCTATTTGAAATTCTAATACGCAACACTGACTGATAACGCATCTATAGCTTAAAGTCCGGTGAAATATTTTACCATCTGGATTCGAACCCGGCTCGCTAGTTTCTAAATCAAAAGTTCCACGACAGGACCGATCCGCGCTCCTAGACGTTGTACAAGTTAAAACACCAGTAAAGAGAAACCTTTGATAGATTGTTTAGGCAGAGTATTCATGATGAAAATTTGTAGAATAGACGACAACTGCCTGTTGTAGAGACACAAGTGTAGAGGACGACGTTTCGAAAGTCTTCCGCGAACCAGAAGACGAAAGACCTTGGAAACGTCGTCCTCTACACTTGTGTCCCTTTTCATAACAGGCAGTTGCCGTCCATTCTACAAATTTTCATCAAAGAGAAACCTGTTTTTTGCGATATTTCGTACAAACACTCTTCGTCTTGAAATCGAATAACACGACTATCTGACGAAGAACATTTGCTCGAAACGTCCTGATAGTTTTTTTTTTAGATTATCTTAATAGTTTTACCCCACACTTGTAATGATTTAACTCTGGTAAACTAAGCTTCGAAGTAACTGGTGATGTTTTGAGAAGAAGAAAAAATCGTTAATGGAAGCCGTTGGTGTTTTATTGTCGGATCTTTCCCTTAGTAAATGGACATTTAAAAATTATCACTTGAACTAATTGTTGTTTTTAGCACAAAGCTACTCAATAGGCAATCTCCACTCTATCCACCCTAAGGAATCGAACCCCGGATCTTTCCCTTAGTAAATGGACATTTAAAAATTATCACTTGAACTAATTGTTGTTGTTTTTTAGCACAAAGCTACTCAATAGGCAATCTGCACTTTGTCCACCCCAAGGAATCGAACCCCGGATCTTACCGGTGTAAGTCCGTAAACTCACAGTTGACCCACCATGAGATAGCTGGAACCAAAAACAATATAATGTTCCATCCAAAGTCTCAGTATGTCACTGAATAAACTTGAATCATTTCAATTTTTTATGTCAAAACAAATCTACATCCACTCGAGTTTTTCTCCACTGAAACATATATTGCACATTTTATGATTATCTGACAGGTATTTAATTTGTCTAAATAATAAAGAAAACAATAAAAACCTATATTAACGTTGAAATACTTCACATAATTTATTTGCCTTTTTTCTCGAATGATAAGAAATTTTTTCTATAAACAATGTCGTACAGTGCATTGAGAAATTTTGCTGCCATCTATTGAAGGAAGCCTAAACTACGTGCTCATGATCGAGATCGTTCAGAAATACCTCGAATTTTTTTTTTTTATTTACTTATAGAACCTGGGACGTGTGATAGCATGTTCCCAAAATTATTATAGTTTGAATGTAGTGTCACTTATTGCCATAGCACCTGTTTAATATGTCGCTTAACAAAGAAGGAAAGACCGGTTAAAAAGCGCGATGTAAAACAAAAGCTTGTTTTGCAAAAAAGTTCAATAATATTTTCGAATTTTCACGTGTCCACAAGCAAATCATTATTCAGTTCTTTATGTACAAAATATTACCTATCATATCATAAAAAAATTACTTTCTCAAAAAGTTATTTTTTCACGGTTAGCAACGTTTGTGTTGAAATCAATACAGTTGCTTGTTGGTAAGGGTGTAGTTCAATAGCAGCGAGTTTTGCCAGAAAATTGTGATAACTGGAACAAAAATTTAGAAGAGCTTTGTGATGTAGATAATCCAGCAAGCACAGAATTAGTTTCTTTATCTGATGATGAACTTCTAAGAAGATGGGCGACTGTTATTCCAATAGATTCCACTCTGATGAAGAACATCCGTAAACAAATATGACAGCCATTATCCAAAAAAAGATCCCATTCTGACGAACAATTTCTTTTAACAATAAATGGGCCACTGTTATTCCAAATATATCCAAATCTGATGATGAACTTCTAAGAAGATGGGCAATTGTTATTCCAATAGATTCCACTCTGATGAAGAACATCTTCTGAGAACGAATATGAAGGCCATTATCCAAAAAAAGATCCCATTCTGACGAACAATTTCTTTTAACAATAAATTGGCTACTGTTATTCCAAATATATCCAAATCTGATGACGAATTTCTTCTAACAAGATGAACAATTGTTATCCCAAACAGATATACACTGATGGTGTGAATTCCATATGTAAATTAATGGATGGAGGCTTGAAGAACAACAAGATCAGGCTTTTAATGGACAAATTATTCAGTAGATCTAAAAAAACAGTAAATTCATCAAAAAAGTTGTAAAAAAAAACAGCAGACCACTAAAAAAATATCAAGCAAAACAGAATGTCGCAATAAGTAAAGCTTGCTACGCCAATTAAATGGAGTGTTTAAATAATCAAAGTAAGATTTCTTGTAAATATATTGAATTCAATTCTTCAATTGTAGATTCAACAAGAATGCATCCCTTATATGTTCACCGAGGGTCGACTAATCTTGTTTAGTGGTTCTAGTAAATATAGGGTATCAGATTTTGAATGGACTTCTTTACGTCTCGGCAAATTAAAAAACACCCAACTTTCATCGTAAGAGTTGGAAAGGATTTCTTTCATGATAGAGTGACTTAAAAAAGAAAAAGGATTGGACAACAGATTTTCAATTGGAAAGTTTTTGTGAAAAATAGGTAGCAGGTATTTTAGTCGGAGGACATAACAACACCCATTATTAATTGGTATTTCCATTCAGATCGTGTCCCTGAAAGCTTAATTAATTAAAAATAAAGAGTAATTGATCAATTATTAAACATTTTCAATCACTTTTGAAAATGAGATATTCCTGACTTTCCAGGTTTTTCCACAAAAGGTGGTAGTGGGCCGACAACTTTCCTTAACTTTTCTAGGTTTTTGTTTGTTTGTTTGGAATTTCGTGCAAAGCTACACGAGGGCTATCTGCGCTAGCCGTCCCTAATT